AAAAAAAAGGTCAAATGTGTCGATTTTGTGATTCATAGCTCGTTAGATAGAGCAAAATGTTTACTTTTGAATGCACTATAGTTTATTGATTTTATGATGAGATTTAAGGATATTACATAGGTTTTTCTGAACCTTCCACAGAAGAAAATAACGTTTTTTTCTCAAAATAGAGTTATTGATGTTTACGTTTTCGTACATCCCAGATTTCTCTACCATTTTAAACGCTAGAAAGCTGGGCTTGGTGTCAAAATGAAGGCAAAAGTTAGCTCTACAACTTAACAGAGCTGAGTTTTTCGATTTCTCCATTAATGTTTATAAAAAAAGAACCGTTCTGAGCCTATACTTCTTGAGTTTTTTATACTTCATCAGAGGAGTTTTCTAAAAACACAAGCTAAGAGAAAATCGAAAAATCGGTCCCTGTTAAGTTGTAGCTCCACACATTGGCTACATTTTAAAATCAGCCCGAACTTTCTAGCATTTGAAATGGCGAAGAAACTTTGGACGCACGTAAACCTAAATTTTGACCCATAATCTTAAGCTAACTCTTCGTAGATTCAATGTATCAAACTGAAATTTTTACTGTGAGCTGTCTAGTTCGAGATACACCTTCACTGAAAGTTTCATCAAGATTGAATGTTCGAAAAAATAATTTCATTTTCGAGGGGGCCCTTAATATTTCTATTACATAATAACATTTCTACAGCATATTTTGTAATACATGATACTGCTATCGTTATATATACATATACATATTTTTTCTTCTATTCGAAAATCTAGGTAGTTATCATTGTTATTCTCTTCTTCTTGATTCTTTCATTATTGGAATTAAGATTGAACTCATGTTCAACAAAACAAAACTTACAATTCATACAATCGAAATAAAATCTGAATAGATTAACTATTTTTATTCAATCATATCTTTTTATATTTTCGTAAACACTTTACAAGTCAAAGTAATTTAGTCTATTTACCCATATTTGTATAACTACCTCGCTCGAAATGACATTTTGTCGAACAAAAAACTTTTTTTTTTACATGACATTGTTTTGTAGTGCATTTATCTTTACAATCGCAAATGCGACCGATTGTTGAATTCGATTCAGACAGTTTTTTTATTAGATTGTAACGCATACATTTATATTTATACTGCTCATATTAGAATTCTAATTTTGTCTGGCTAATACTAGAATTCCAATTGTGCCTCTAGCATATACAACTGACTGCAACTGTCTGTTACTAATCTACTAGAAAAATACAGAACGAAGTGGAGCAAATATTTCTTACAGTTTTCTTTTTGTGAAACATAAACTAAAAAAAACGATAGTGTGAAAGTACTGTCCTTCCTCCCTTCCTTCCTATAGAACATGACAGACATAGCCATGTAAAACTAAAATCTACTACTTAAACTGAATTGAATTCTACAGGCGAGAAAATAATCTTCATACTCAGTCTTTCTTCATCTATTATGTTTTGTGAGATGATAAACGTTTCATTCTATATCTAGAGCTTTCGGTTGTTTTTCGAATGGGAAGCGTCTAAAAATTTGACGGATAGTTTTCCGATAACAGCTCGAGATTTTCTCAGACGCGGCGTGAAAAGTGGGAGACCTACCCACATCGAGGTCTATCTACTAACGGCAAAATGCTTGCGCAGTGTTTGAGTATTTGGATCTTAGCACCATGATTTTGTAAGTAAATTTGAATATTTTGTTTTACCAAAATGATCAGCTCAACGAGTTCTACAGACGGAAAATATCTTCTGAGAACCTTATGTTTTTTACGATTGACTACCCATGGAAGTATCTATTAAAAATATGATTCAAAAGCATTTTGTCATTGGTAGTATGTCTGTATCCGCTATACCATATTATAATTGATCGCTTCTTCCATCACGGATGATACATATTTATAATGCATAACAAAAACAAAAACCTTAAGGCATATTGCTAAATCTCTTCTTTACAGTAAAAATAGCTCGATTGTGTTTCATATAAGAATTGTACTAACAGTTTTCTAACGTAATCATTAAAACAAAAACAAAAACAAACCAATTCATTGTTCATCCAACATTGAGTATAAGTCTTCCAAATTCTCTGCATTTTTGACACCAAAATTTTAATGTTTCATCATATGATTTCCAATTTTCTTTTTTTTTAATCAAATCAATTTTTATCTACAAAATACGTCTCTTGATTTTTATATTATGACACAATATTATAATTAAACATTATACAAATATAAATAAAACAAGAAAAAAAAAGATTTATTCAATTAGACCATGATTAGCAAGTGAATGAGTTAGAAATGATGTTGTAGCGCCAAGTTTGAATCGTTTACTACCCAATGTTTGAACAGGTACAACTAGAAAAAAGGTCGTTATATACAAAACATAATCATAGAATTTCATCGAGCAATATCTAATAAATTTCTATCACCATAATAACAATTGACTTAGTTTCATTTATAGACTGTGTATAATCCCATATTTTTCGACTCACGAAAGTAGCGCGTTTGTTCGTTAATAGAAAACATGTAGAACAAACTAAATTAGATACACCAAAGAAGTTGCAAGTAAACAGTGAAAAGCGATGAACTAATCTATTCGATTATTTACATTGCTAGAGTGTGACTGGGCTTCTATTCTGTGGGAGATATTTAATGAATAGGAGTTGTTTTCTTTCGAAACATCAAGTCATTCTTAAGTCTTTGGGCATTTGAAATATTTAGAATAGTTCAAATACGTCTCGCATGAAATACTATGACTGAATCATCTTATCAAGATGAAGTTAGATCACATGGATAATTAATTTCTTACCGTGGCGTTTCGGTTCTTCTTCTTCGTAAGAGAAAAGATCGGTTGGTCGTCGAATTTCATTATTAACACTTAAAACTTGTACTTGTCGATATTCTTTTGGTTCACCATCATCTTCTCGTGTTCATTTAAGTGGACTAATCGTTACCGTTCGTTGTGGTGTTATTGTAATATCATTTTTATTTTTGACAAGAGAAACTTGTCGTTTCATATTTGTACGTAAATCAATTTGACTATCAACTGTTGTTGTTATTGATAGTTCAGTTTTTTTTAATTATTCTAAATGGATTCATAAGTTTATTAGCTAAATTTGTCATTTTTTGACTTATAAATGATGTTTGTCGTTGAAATAATGATGTCGAAGAATCAAGTCGTTTAAGACGATCAGTACCGAGAACAACTTTTTTTTTGTAATGAGATTGTATCTATTTAAAAACAAAATTAATATTTAAAAATAAATAGATAATAAAAAGCAAAATAACCAGAAAGAGATTTTATTGTTCGCATTCCATGAACTGATGTCGATGGAGTTTTTCTCAATACACCTTGATAAGCAAGCGGTGATGATGATGATGATGCAAGTTTAGTTTGAATTTTTCCATTATCATCAACAGCAATGATTTTTTCTTCTCGTTCCATTAGATTACTTGTTTGTTCAGCGTATGGATAAACAACTGAAACTGAACCTATATGAAATTCTTGATAAACTATAAATAAATTATACATTCTACGAACGATCATTAAATGAAATTCGAGAAAGCATTGCTGGTGATAAATTACAAGTCGATTTAGATAATACATTTGATTCAATCGTGTAGCTTGATTATCACCAATTCAATTTTTAATAACACAATTAGCGACTAAAATATTAAATGAAAAAAATTTTTTTTTTCTTGTTCATATATTTTTCACTTACTAGCTGATCGTCGTTTTAATGTCAATGATTGATTTGTCTAAAGAAAATTCATCGTATAAATATAATTAGATTTCATTCATAGTTTACTTTATCATCTAAAAGACGAGCTTGTTTAATCAAGCGAGTACGATCAACTGGATTAGTAATATCTAGTTTATTTAATTCATTATCATCGCTTGCTAAATGTTCTTCTATTGTTGAAAAACGATCAGCTAATGTCATGCTATATTTCAAAATAATACTATTATTAACTGAGAGATTCGAGTCACGCACAAATTTGAGCCAAAATGACATATCTATATGAGACAAAAAAAGCAACTATCTTATGCAGAAAAATTAATGAATATCATCTACCTGATGTCAATTGATCAGTCATTTTTTAATACTTTATAAAAAAATTCAGGACGAAGGTAAATTAAGAACGATAAAACAACGAAAGTCATATCAGCCAATAGTGATTTCTGACAGAGAGCGCTATACAATGATAATAAAGATTTATTTTCATTACAAGGCAACGCTGAAGAAAACATCTTGTAACGTTCGAGAGAGAAAAAATTTGTTTGAAAACAAGCAATGTTTCTTCTTACAATCTTAAGAAATACAGTCATTCAGATTTTCGGGTTCGGTTCGTTATCGGTCTCTGGAGTGTATTACCGGTGAATCCGTCACGGTATGAGGTTTCGTTCACGATGTTTAATAACAACAAGTTTCAAATCAAAATGCAATAGAATGTAAATGTCTCTCCTTGGATCAATTAAAGTATGCGATTGCATCCAATTTGTCATGTTTTCATATACAGATCGCTTTAGATACGAGGAAATCTATATTGAAGAAATTATAAATGAATGGAGTTATAATTAGTCGATAGACATTGGTTGAGTGGATAGATAAAAAAATGGAAATTCAATGTGAACAATAATGAAGATTTGGCTACTTTACACACGCCCAGGTGAAAAATCATACGCAGATCATATAAGATCTTACTGACATCGGATGTTGTAAGATTCATATTGTATGATATTACGAAATCATACAAACATCTTAGTGTAAGATTCCTGTACAATCTGATGATCGGAATCTTGTAAGATCTTATATGATCTTATGGGATCATAATTTAGATTTGTCTTATGTAAATAGTTTTTATAACGAAAGTCTCATGCATTAAATAACACTTTTATTCAGAGTTTCTTCGCGGAGAAATATATTAAACAAACTTTCAATGATGGAGAAGAGAGAACTGTTCGATTTACGCATTGAAAGAAGGAAGTCATAGCCTTGAGAAATTTGTAGTCTTCCACTATCTTTCCAGCTCGAAGAAGTCTACATAAGTCGATGTACTTGTTTAAACTAGGCGTACATATTAGGATTTTTTTGTATATGCCGAAGTATTGGAAAACGATTGACATAAATCAACATTTAAATTTCGATTCATTTGAGAAACGTAAGTCAGAAAAGATTCGTAGCCAATGATTCTTATTCTTCAATTAAAACTGAACTTAAATTAGTTTTGAATCCGTTGCCCTCGTATATCATTCTATTTTTTGCTGATACTTCAAATGACATTTAATTAAGAAATACTACCATTTCATTTCATTGATTTCTTTTTCTGGTAAAAATCTCAAAAAGCAACAATAAACACAAAGCTTAACAACAAGAAAAATGACTCATCATCAGAAAATGATAATTAAAATTGTAGCTTTTATAGTAATTTTTTTACGTATATATATTTATTATAAGCTACTCTAATTATTCATATGTATCAATAGAACACATTTGAAACGAAAATAAATCAACCTGTTAAAAGCACTAAATATAGAGTGCGAAAGAGTGCAAGAAAACCAATTAATAAAAATTAATGCAATTCAAGAAAGTATGTATTCAATATATATTTTATTTTATTTTATTTTATTTTAGATGATGTCATCGACCAATCCGAAAAACATAAGTATTTATCTAATTTAAATTGTCTCTTTAGTTTTATTTTAGATAATATCGACGATTAAACCAAATAAAGTAAACATCTTTTTAATTTAAATTGTTTCTGTTTTATTTTACATGATATCAACGCTTTATTCAAATAAAGCGAGTACTCATTTAATTTAAATTGTTTTCTTTTATTTTAGAGGATAACAACGATTAGACCAAATAAGGTTAGTGTCTGTTTAACATAAATTGTCTTTTTTATTTTAGATGGTATCAATGATCAATGTCAAAAAAATAAGTATTTATTTAATTTAAATTGTCTATTTGGTTTTATTTTAGATAATATCGACAATTAAACAAAATAAAGTAAACGATTATTTAATTTAAATTGTCTTTTTTCTATTTTAGATGATCTCAAAGACCAATGCAAATAAAGTTAGCATTTATTTATTTTAAATTGTTTTTTTCATTTTAGATGATATCCGCGATTAATATAAAGAAAATAAATATTTACTTAATTTAAATTATCTTTTATTTTGTTTATGTAATATTTACGATCAGACCAAACGAAGCAATTATTTTTTTTTAAATTGTTGCTTTTTATTTTAGATGACATCAACCCTGTAGCCAAATAAAGTGAGTGTTTCTTTAATTTAAATCTTCTATTTATTTTTATTTTAGATAATATCGACGATTAGATGAAACAAAGTAAATATTTATTTAATAAAAAAATATTCATTTCATTCGATGCATTTATTTGCACATAAATGCATCAAATGAAGCAAATAATTAAATTTAACTTTAATTATTTATTTTATTTGATGCTCTCAGTGGATTTAGGATAAAACAGCCCCTAACAATGGAAGCCATATAAAACGAAAGAGAAAAAATGAGCTATATACCTTTTTATGCAACTCTGGAAAATCATACATGGATCTTAGAAGATCTTATAAGATCATATAGAATCGTACGATACGATTTCATCAGAAAAGTTGACTTTGAGGTGAGCGTATAGAATCTTACAAGATCATACAATAGGATTGTTTCACCTGGACGGCTGATTGGTAGTCGATAAAGATTAATGGAATCGATATTAAAGTTCTGAAATCGAAATTTATTCTGAACTCATTCGTTCTCTTCGTTCGATATGATTCACGCGCAATGAAGAATTACATCTACCGATTGTAGTAAACGTATGCACTATGATTATCAAGGAAAAACAGACGATTATTGTTTTGATGTAAAGGATAATCAAGAATATAATTCTCCGCTACAAATCGGCCGCATCGCAATGCGCATTCATGTGTATTAACTATTCCGTCTCTTTTTTGGTAATCAGGTTGCTTATTTCACCAAATCCTGATTGATAGGGTATTTAAGAAACAAATTTAATACCACAACAAGATGCTAAGTTTTGTTTTCAGATCCTCACTGATCATTCACCTGTATGTAAAAATGAACAGAAATTAATCTAATGTGATGCGAATCATTAGTCACTGGTAATCAATGCCAAATTATTCGAGAGTATAAGTACTGATTAAAAGAAGATGTCGACGATGTACTCAAGAAGAAAACCATACCTATTTACACCAAAGAAACAAACTCGTCTCTTCGGATTATATGAAAAAAGACTTTTCAGCTTTGAAAACAGCCGATAATCCACCTTGTATGACGTAAAATATTGCACAAATTCGTACAACTATTCAATAAAAGATGACAAATGTATTAGAAACAGAAAAATCATTTGAATTTGTCAATAATAAGTAGTCAGAACTATAAGACAGTAACGAAAGGGTAGAAAACAAAGTCGATCATTTGATAGTTGACTTGAAAATTGTTACACTCTATACACAATTGCATCAAGCAGTTCTTATCGATGTCATTAATATAAAGAAAAGCTTTGCTAAAAATGCTGTACTAATTAGTAATGCTTTATTTTAATAGAATAGAACAGTTGTCTTCGATGCCAGTTGCATAACAATACTCATAACATCTTTATTCCACATCCACCCCTAGAGAAAATACTGAGTTCAGGGTACCCATGTACTGAGAAAGTCTTAGCAGGGTACCCAATATGGGTACTTCGAAAAATTTCAGTATTTATACTGATGTAGGTACTACATGGGGTACCCATACAAGTACGCTCACTGAACAAGTACTCGTATGGGTACTGGGATGTGTAACTTTACTGAGGAAAACTCTAAAGGGTACCCTACATTTGTCGCATTCTGTGTAGCAACTGTTCATTCACCGTTTTCTTTTTCACGCACCGCTCCATATAAACAGCTGGGCAGAAACACAAGAAAGTAATCTATTTTCATACTAATTTTTTTTTTTTTGATTATTTCTTGACTATTTCTTAGTCGAGAACATGTCGGTCTTGATCATGGATTAAGAGTGGACTACTCTGGGGTGGTCCCAAGGATACTCGACCACACTCAAGTCTGATCAGATCCGGGCGTTTGACCTGCTAAATTTTCGGAATTGAAAAAATAAAATAAAATAAAATCGAAAAAAATGTAATAGATTCCTGTGAGAGAAACAAAAATGAAAATAGTCAAAGGTGAGATTCGATCCTGAACATACTGAGATTTTGGCGATAGGGTACCTAGCAATACTTTACAACAGTATCCAATTGAGTACCTGATCAGTATCCTCAAGTACCCAGTTACTACACATTTTGTACCAGAGTACCTACCAAAGTATCACGCAGGTACTTGAAAGTACCTACAAGTGCCTTGGTATCCAAAAGTTCTTGTGACATACTGCTAACAGGGTACTTTTTCGGGTATCCTTAACTCAGTATATTCTCTAGGGACCTGAGAGTGAATGTGAGTGTATGAGGAGATGGCTATCTATGTCGATTCGCAACAAGCCTAGAATCATGTATGGTGCTGTCACTATCTTAGTTACGCGTAGAGATTCTACATGCCACTCGATCTATTGAAAATGATTACGAGCTCATTAAAAGATAGAAAAGTATGCATAGTGTTCGATGAAAAAAGTCGAATATCTGTAATATAAATATAATGCTTCCACAAGGTAGTACCCTCAACTTTCATCTGTTCATTGCGTTCTACTGTCATCTAATGAATTATCTAGGAACTCGTTTAAGTCACTTTTTTTTGCTGATGATCATAGTGTATTCATTAAACTATCCATGATGAAAAATTTAGCTCTGATAATTCAATATTTGGAGAAAAAAAATATACGCGAATCTGTCATTCAATATATTTCTATTTCAAAAAGCGGACATAAACAATAAAGGTATCGAAAATAGAAATACGGCTATTTCAGAT